ATTAACTGGGTTGGGCTTCCAGTCGATGGCCTACCACACAGCCGGCCCACGCTCATCCCTGTTGCCCAACTATCGCACACGACAATCATTCCGCACAAGGTATGCCTCATCTTCTACTCTTAACACCCCAACTAATACACCGATTTGTAGCTCGTGTACTCGGCCCACTTCTACTCTTATACCGGTCCCAACCACAGCGGTGCTACGGGCATCGGCGAGACGAGCGATCCTCGCTATCGTGATCTGAGCCGCGCCGATCTCTTTTCAGTCCTGCAGAGTTCCGCCCTTTATGTGGCCCTCACCGCCGAAATGCACTACACCGCCCCCGTCTGGATCTCCGAATTCGGCATGGAGGGTCGTGCTGACACCCTCGATTCAGATCGTGCATTCTGGCAAAATTTTATCGACTACCTAGTTCAGACAGACGCTGATTATGCATTTTGGCCACTGGGTATGTGCCTTGACAGGGTTTTTGTCATAAGTTACTCAACGACTGGCAGTCGGGTACTTGAACGCGACCACTGGCACTGGCAACGGTTGGTCACTCATGAACTGGGAGGAGCTGGCTGGTGGCGGGAAGCGTATCGGTCTTTTTGACGGCGACGACTGGCGTGCGCCTGCTTGGCAAGAGCTGATGAACGGCACCTCCACCACTGGCCAGATTGCATCCGTCCCAGAGTGGAAGCAACTCTCACTCGACCACGGTGATTTCATCCAATCGCAGTTCGCGCGCGCCAACCTCGGCGATTGGGACAACGGGGCTACTAAAGCGCAATGTCCCGATACCCTCCGCCTTATCGGTCTTTCGCACGGCTCATCGCGTGGATTGTGCACCGACGTCTCGTTCGGCACTCTCTGGAACGCTGACCACGCGACGGAGGTTGTGTTTGACGAGCGACACGTAACGAACGATTGGGCGAGTGGTTACACAAAGTACACCTGCCCGGCCAACTACTTTGTCTCGGGCTGGGCGATTCGCGGAGCAAAGGTGTCCACGGTAATGTGTGCGCATGCGAGTGAGACGCTTGGGACGACTGGGCGGACGGTGTGGTTTGACCAGAACGATAATCGCGCGGACCAGTTGGGCGGGGACTTCGCTGTCGGACAACTCAAGGGCAGCTGTGCGACCAACGAGTACATCGGTGGCATTGCTTTCACGACGAGGATAGGCAGCAATGGCGCGCCTGCTTCTATTTACTGTGTATCATAGTTCATAGTGCCAAAGATATATCCTACAACACATATGCAAGTACATAGAAACGAAACAAGCTCAAGATTCCCTAGGTCTGTGTTTCACGATCCAAGGATGCTTTTGGACTTCTGTCAACAACAGCCGTTGCTGAGGATCATATCGCAGGAGCTATACCCCGACTTGAGACAAGAACATTGCAGAGTAAACAGAGTACACACCTTGGTGATCAGGTCTTTTGCGTCTGGTGAGATGTTGGGAGGGAATTTGAGGTCGACTTTGGCTATCCTGCGGTACGTGTCTGGAAAATGTTAGTAGCGCTACAAGGTGCGGATGGGCACGTACTGTTGACACTCCCACGATCCTCAAACGGAGGCGCGCCTAGCAGGAATTCGTATGTGAGGACACCGATTGCCCAGTAGTCCACCTAACAAACATGTCAAGCCAAAGAAAGATTCAAGCGAGGAACCTACCTTCTCGTTGTGCTCCCTGCCCTCGATCATCTCCGGTGGCAGGTAGTCGAGAGTACCGCATAGTGTCATCCTGCGTAGCCCTGGCGCATGGACCGACCTACGACTGGATTAGCGATGCACACGAGGACACAAGATGGACGCACCAGCCAAAGTCTCCGATCTTGAGCTCGCCGTTAATGCCGAGCAGCAGGTTTTCTGGCTTGATATCCCTATGGATAACGTGCTTTCCGTGGAGGTAAATGAGCGCATCGGCCATCTGGTCGATGTACCGGGCGCTCCGTCGCTCGGAGAAGCTGCCGTACTTGCTCAACTGCTTGTACAGCTCGCCCTTGCCCGCAAATTCGAGCATAAGGAAGATGCGCTTCTCGTCGTGGAAGTAGCCGTAAAGGCGAAGGATGTTGGGGTGGCGCAGGTTTTGCTGGATTTCGATCTCGCGGCGGGTTTGTTTCTCGACTTTGTCCTTTATGAGTTCCGACTTGTAGAGGGTCTTGAGGGCAAGTATGTAGTTGGGGACTGTTTTGGTTCGAACCATGTAGACGCGGCCGAATTTGCCTGGAGCGAGATGTAAGAGCCTGTTTGTCGCCGACGACGGAGCGTGCGCACCTTTGCCCAGTGGCCGGCCAATATCAAAGGAGTGTAGGGACCACTCTTGGGTCGGATAAGTCCTTGAATGGATTGGATTCAGTGACCAAATATCGTGGCGACGACTCACTTGGACATGCTCGAGTCGAGTGCAAGCTCTTCCGCCGCGTCCCCGGTGACAATATCGCCTCGCTTCTCATTCTCAGTCTCGAGCCCTCCATCATAACTGCCAATGTCGAGAGGTGGCTTCGCGGTGTCGCTGCGGGATGAGGGGAGTTTGGAGACGCTCGGTTGTAGGTTGGGTGCCGCGAATTTTGTGAGTAGTTTGGCGACGTTGGGCTGACTGGGTTGCTTGGAATGAGTGGGTGGCTGAGAGCGAGCGTTAATGTCGACGGCGGCAAGCTGGCGGGTAACAGATGCGACGGAAGTCATGGCGGGAAGAGCAAACCACTCGTGACACACGTGATCGTGGTGACATTGTTATGCGACGACCAAAAAAGGTAATTTACAATAAAATACAGGAATCTAGCTGCTGGCCTTGACCTCTGCCAGGAAACCGAGCAGTTCCTACATAAAAGTAAGCTCAGCGGTTGGTGGAAACCTTTCAACTCACCGCGTTCGTAGGGTCAAAGGCGAGCCCAAGCTTGAGCGCGTCGCTCGCATCCTCCAATCTCCCCAGCGCCTGCAGAGCCTTGGCCTTCCGGAAGTGCCCTTTGCCCCAGGGTCTCCGAAGCTGAATCACCAGCTCGGCATCTGCCAACGCAGAGATGTAGTCCTTCGCCTCCAAGAACGCGACAGAACGGTTGGAAATGACCGTCGACAACTCCTCCCGCATGAGCCCGTTCTGCTCCCAAGGTGGTCGTTGGACTGCATACACTGACGCCGTGCTATATTTCCTGATCGCTTCTGCGTATTTCCCGGATTTGAATAGGTTCTGAAGTAGAGATGAGCGGCAGAGCCGTTGGACCAGATAGCAGCGTACATTTCCCTCGTCCTTTGTGCTTGTCACCATCGTTGTGAGATTCTTGGTGACCACTTGCGGTGGCGGAGGACATAGGATTGTCGGATTCTGTGCCAGCAGCCGAGACATGCGGTTCATGTTCACGTAGTCGACGCCGCAGTCTGAGCATTTTTCGAACGAGTGGACAGCGCACAGGGCAAGAACGTTGTCCTGCAGATTGAGGGCGACGGGCTGGAAGTCTGCATCAATCAGGGCCTGCAGCTTTGGGTCGACAGTCGGTTGTGGAGGGGCAGGCTGAGGGGGCCCATGAGAGTGAGAGTGGGTCTCGCCGGGGGCATGGGTATGGGACATGGCAAGAGGCAAGTTAACACGTCCATCCGCGTGACCCGGCCAAAACTTTTGACATGAACGTTCATGTTCTTTCGTAGGGCCTTTGCGTTGGCTCAGCAGCGTCTCTCGTCGTCCCTGGCCTCTCGAAATGACCCCACCGCCTTCATATCCGCGAGGCTCAACTGGGTCCTTCGCCATGGCACCAGAGTCAACCAGCTCGTCATCCGCCCAGATGGCTATGTACGCGTAAACGACATTGTGCGTCGCGTCAAATAACACCTTTAGCCTCTCATATCCTCTAGAGATCCTGCTGGAGCTTTCGCAATGTGGAGCCCGAGGAATTGAACGCCTTTCTCCATCTCGCCGCCAGAGGGCGGGTAAAATATTTCCATGTCGTCCAAGAATACGATGTTCGTGTCGGCGGTCCATCCTGGTGGATACGGTCAATATGGGGACACAGCATCAAGGTGCGAGAATGCGCATCCCAGCAATCGCAGTCGTTCACAAAGCCGTAGACGGTGGATATAACGGCCAGAAAAGTTCTCTCGGCTGCGGAGGTGCCTCTGGCCGTATTTCCCACCGGATTGGTGGCTGGTACTCGAGCAGGTAACTCTAATTACCTAATATTCGAGCTCGTTCCAACTCCCAGCAGCGCAAGATGGTATTCTCCCCGACGATGACGGCCTCATTCACCTTCGCCGCACAACCCCTCGCGAAAATTTCAACTATGGTTTGTCGTCGTCTTGCCGTTTCACCCAATAATCAACTCGGCACTTTAGGCATCGGCGTTCACTTCCCCATATGCATCTACGTCGACGTCGAGAAGATGCTTTCGTCGGGCATCCTCCTCTTCCTGACCACTCGCGGTCAGGTCCTCACTACGGGCGACCACACGAACACCATCCCGCCCTCATTCTTCACCGACGTCGTCCGCATCAAGTTCTCGAAAAAGACGATCTGGAAACCTTTACCAACGAAGCCAAAGACTTGACATCTCACCGCCGTCACTGCTTCTCCCTCGATGGGGACTGCAGCACTGGAGGACCTCAGTCATGCCTGAATCTGAACGCAGAACTGCGAGGAAGCCGACACCGAGTCTTCATGCACCCGGTGTCCCGGCAAAAGGGACGCTCACCGCACCCCAGATTCGCCGAAAGGGGACACAGTGGCCGTTTCAATTCGTCGATAATCCGCGACGAGGGTTGCGTTCATTCTGGTGCCGATGGAGCTGGGTTGGACTCGGGGGCAGATGTCCGGCCCTATAAATCGCGCCACTTGCCGCGTTGGGGTCGGCGATGCGATTTTCACGAAACTGTATCCATACCGCAATAATCCAAACACTACTCACTTTCTATATCAACAAACTGAGACTCCTGGCTATTGACCTAAGTAGCCCTCAGGCATTTTCCGCATGTCGATGACTTGCACCAAAATTATGACATTGGAAAGTCGTTCAAAAAAAAAGTGCCCACTAGCTGATTCGAACAACTGATCTTGTCATGTCGCAATGTTACGAGTGACACGCCTTACCACTGGGCCAAGCGGGGTTTCAAGAGAGAATCTCTGGCTTCCAGAGGGTGCAAAAATCATCCAAAACGAAGAATTCGTTGGCGAGATACGGAAGGATTGATGTGGGTGATGTTTTTGATGATGTGTGATGATGTGTTACTTGATGCATCACGCCATCACTCACGTCACCCTCCCATTGCCACAAACGGCTAAGTACCACTCAGACGCATTGAATGCATCCTCGGTGCACCCTCTGTAAAACCATGCAGGGCACGCTGGCCACTGCCTTTCGCCCACCTTGCACTCGAAATGAGAAACCTATAGCTCTTGACATCCGCGACCAACATGCCCGCTCAACACTCGGCGAAGAAGACCTTATCCAGCGTCGATGTCCTCAAGCGAATGGCCGCCGCCGGCTCTGGTGTCAACAGCTTCTCAATGCCGTCGCAGGCTCTTCAGACGTCGTGGCCGATACCAGGAGCATGAAGATACGCGTCGCGGGTGGTGGCTGGACGCAGATTCAAAGGCGAGTTCATCTTCGACTCATCCCAATGTGAGTCTTCCTCCTCAAGTATCTGCCATACCTCACCCGTCTTGAAATTAAGATTCTATTCATTCAACCAGGGCAACTCCCCACAGCTACCTCAAGTCGATCGAGTACCCTCCGGCTGCAAGTCGCCATACAGCGCTCGTTACATCGGCTCCGTCTACGGCGGCTATCCCGACGACAAGAAGAACAACAAGAGCGGCAAACTGCGATTACTCTATGTACGAGGCGACCGAGCAGGTAAAGTTCACGTTGAACTTTGCGATGACTCACCACGACGCCTCCCGTGTCGACACTTGCCAGGAAGAACGTCTGGACGACCATTGTATGCTCCCTCGAGCTCCTCGCTTCCAAGATGACCTCTTTCGCATTGCGCCAAATCTTTCGCGTTGCGCCAACTCGCCGTTTGTCCATGTTTTCCTTCAGCAACTGCTTCAGTCCACGACATGAACCCGCCCGTCCGTACAGTCCACGACATTCAAATTGACGACTTCAAAACGGACCATGCCGGGCAAGACGAGAACCTCGCCGAACGAATCAACTGGACGGTACATTCCTCCCAACTCGCTCATTTCCCGGAACCGCTGCCTGACGATCCTCCGACTCGACAAGGTCCGTGTTGTTTCTCTTTTTCTTACAACAATCTGAGATACATTGAAGAAAGCTTCGGCGTCTCGCCTATGACTCTACTGCCGTACGTTTCTTTCCGTCTGCCTCTAGCCTGCTAAACGTCCTTTCAAATGTTCAATACGACGCCCGCTGTCGCGACCACAGGCTTCGTCCGAGGCGGTACATTCCTCCCAGTTTATTGATTTCTCCCCGCTCCTGCAACTCGCAGTCGTTTGGGACCTCGCGACGACGACCGCGCTCTCACTGCTCAAAACGTGAGTTGTGTCACCAAGAGGTGTGTTGTCTTTCTCTTTTGTTATTGTCTCTACAAATCACTTCAGTCTAGCCATCAACTTCGCATCCCGTCCGACTCTGTTATGTCTTTCTTTGTTTACAAGCGATCCTAACGAGAGGTTAAATTCATTATGGCTCATAGTCTACATTATGGTGCGTCGCTGGATCCAGTCCATGTGTATTTACTGAATATCTGCTTATAGTCATCTTGGTTTCATGGAGAATACATGCATTATCTTATGCGCCTCTGCAGCTCTTGACCCCAGCGTTCCTGAGATTACCGCTGATTTATTACTGTCAGTACCGCGTCGGGACTGGTGCTTCTTCCCGAGGATGGTATCTCGTTTGCGCCTTTGGGCGCGCCTTCTACTTCTATTACCTATTAAAAGATAAGCAATGTTCTACATGACCGTCGGGTCCATCGGGTCCGCCCTCACAATTCTTTCTCCCTCCACCAGGGTCCTCTCCACTCTTTTCCTCCTCTCTCTATATTCCTAGACGATCCCAGTATGGCCAGTGAATCGAGCAAGAGACCAGTGCGTGACCATGTGTCTGATGCGGAGAGTCTCTCATTTGTTATAGGCGTCTCCAACCACAGAAGACCGCCCATCGGCTCCCAAAGCCCGCAAAATCGTGTCCAAAGTGCGCATGGCAACCTTCTGGAGCGTATCCTTCTCACATTTGTCCAGCACGAAGTCAAGAAAATTGCAGAAGCGACGCGGGACCGTGGCAGGGTATGTCGACCTCCACAATCATCAGTTCTCTACCCACTCCTCGCAGTCGAAGGTCAAGGATGGCGCAAGCAGCTCGGGAACAAACACCCGCAAGCGTGTATGTCGTGTTTCTGACACTCGTTACTTGTCTGAATTGCATAGGTGGCCAATGCCCGCCGACAGTCCAAGCGGCACAACGAGTACGATCCTCAAGAGGGTTTGGATGCTGTTGTGAAGATGGGTGGAGAGCAGGCGCGGCGAATCGGTCAAGCTTGGGAAACACAACTCCTCTGGCTCGTTTCTGCCGAGGTCCAACGCCTCAAAGCAGCGGCCGGGCCACGACACAATACGCGCTCCCTTGTGCAACGAGTATTCCGCGCTCGGCAAGAGTCCCATGAGCACACCTCGATCCCCGACACTTCCGACGTCTGGAAGGAGGAAATTCTGCCGCTCCTGGAAGAACTTGCTTGTAACCCGGCAGCGCTCAATGTTGAAAATCTCGTCCAGCGCAAGATCCTACGCAGTTCGTCGACAACAGAGCTGGAGAGATCGGACGACTTTTGCCGCTGTTACCTGCGCGTCATCGCCGTCACCGGCGCAACCGCACGCGAAGCGCTCGTCAACTACCTTCAACGACATCCAGCCGACGCCCCACATACCATCATCGCCCTTCTCCTCTATGGTGCATCCCTCCGCGACGTTGAACTTGCCCTTCGTGAGACCTGCGCGCCATATGGTCTCGGTGCAGCAGTCGACGTGCTCACTTGCGGTATCTTCAAGAGCGTCGCAATGTTGGAGCTCGTGGAACATCGGTCTGCGACAGAGCCCACGACCTCCGTCTACGCAGGTGTAACCTTCTTTTCGCCTGAAGATAGAGCAGTCAACGATCTGCGGAACAATCTGAAAAACCGCTTTACCAACTTTTGTAAAGCCAACCCCCATTTGTTGGTTGAGACGTTCCATATTCCAGCTTTTGACCTCCGCCTCCCTTCCCATCTCCATGTCCGCACAAACGAGCTTCTCAGCCAGCAAGAGCGAGTACTTTGCGGTCTCATTGGCGAAGTTGGGCTCAATTCCGCATTCGGTGGATTCCGTCCTGTTGCGCAACCTCCGGAGACGTACCTTTCCCTTCGTACTCTTGCGCTACAACGCGCTCCTCAACCCGCTTATCCTCTTGGTCGTGAATCTGCGGAAGACATCGTCAACACCATGATCGCTTTAGCTCGGGACGAGAGGACATTTCTGGAGAGACTCGAGGACATGGAGATTGCACCGAAATACGCGAAGACGGTTGAGGATTATTTTAGACCCATGCGCAGGAACCGTGGCAGGGTCGTGGTGATCACCATCCTCAAGGATAGCACGCGCGAGGAGATGGATGGGCGGACGGATGGATACTTTGGGCAGTATGCTGGGCCAGGTCCGCAGGAACACCGCCACTTTCTGGGTCAAATTCACATCAATCTTCCTCCCAACGGTGTCCTCCCGTTGAACCTCCTTGCGGATCTCATTGGGGCAATAATGGACTTCTGGAAGTTTGTGCGCTTGCATGAACGCCAGTACGTGCACTCGCTATTCCTTGCGCGCTACCTCGATACTTGTCGACCACTATGCATCCTGGTCAGTTCGAACCCTGTCGCCAAGCTCCTCCTCTCCGGAATCCTGGCACAACCACGCGAGAATCTAGCAACAAAGGAATTCTTGGATGGCCATACCACGTCAGAGTTTCTTTCACAACTTCCTGATATGCCATATCAGAAGTACAAGAAAGCCGAGTTTATCGACGTTGTCGGTAACATCTACATCGTCGCCATCGGTCCAAATCGGTTCGCGATTGTGATCGCAGACGCACATTGCGGAGCACTGAAGTACAAGCCGAGGTTGTATATGCTGCGTTCTAGGATTCACTTCCTTGTGGCGATCATCCAGCGTGTCGTCGTCTGCATCATCGCCGACCACCTGGAGACTTCCTCTGCCGACAACGATAGCAAGGAATTTCTGGAGCGCGTTCGGGACCAAGCCCTCCAGATCTTGGTCGAAGTCTACGCCGAGTTGAACAAGGTCAAGACAGTTCTCCGGGAGCAGGAGTACTCGACGGGTTTCCTCGAGAGCCTCGCTCAATTGCGCACCAAACATCTCTCTTTCTTGCCAACAAATCCTACCTCGCCCTCGACCAGCATCTCGGACCACTATGTCCCTATCGATCGCGCCGTGGGTCTCATAGCGGTGGCGGGAGATCAAGCGAGGCTCCAGCAGTATGAGCTGCTCGTCGGCCTGGCAAATTCGCTGCGTTCGTATGGAATGGCCCATGATATCTTTAAGCTCGAATCATTTGGTCGCCAGATTGGTTCCGAAGCATTCAAGCTTTGGTTTTTCAGCGTCGGAGATGGTAAAAGCTTCTCTGCCAGTGCAAGCGCGCAAGGGAAGTCGGCGGAAGGCGCAGCTAGAGCTCAAGCAAGTCGGAAAAAGCTCTCCAACAACCGTCCTGGTGCCGAAGACCCCGACGCGCAACGCCGGCGTCTATTTGAGGACGCCATGACCGAGTACGCAATCCCGCCGCCGTACAAAATCCAGCGCATGGATCGAAGCTGCCGAATCGGACAATGCGATCTCTGTCCCTGGTTTGGTCTCGGAATCCACAGCCTCTCGAAACATCGCTGCGCAGACGGAAAGGAGCAGTCTCTCTCTTTGCTTAACTTCAAATGGTTGGAAAAGTTTTTGTATCCACACGATGCCGAGCCTTACCTTGCGACTCTTTCTCCGGACGACAAGAAGGCGTTGCTCAAGAATCTCGGGCTCGTCAAGTTCACCGTGGGAGGAGTCATTCTCAACAACCTCGACGAGCTACGGAAAGCCCTGCCAGACCAGGCCGACT